TGAGAACATGAGCACTGGCCGCCAAGTACAAAGTGCTGAGAACATGAGCACTGGCCGCCCAGTACAAAGTGCTGAGAACATGAGCACTGGCCGCCAAGTACAAAGTGCTGAGAACATGAGCACTGGCCGCCCAGTACAAAGTGCTGAGAAGTTTCTGGTGGTCCAGTTTGAAAAATTCTATTTTAGTCCATGATGCTGGAGATACCTACTCTATTTCTGAATTAGCTGGGAATGTTTTTCTTAGTTTGACACTTTAATAATCCCTGTCTCTCTTTGCTCTTGAACTACTGATACCAACTCATCTTGAATTAAAAAAAAAATATATATATATATATATATATATATATATATATATATATATATATATATATATATATATATATATATATATATATATATATATATATATATGTGTGTGTGTGTGTGTGTGTGTTTGAGTATATATGTATGTAGGTATATGACGCCCTTGTTCTTGTGTTTTTAAATTTAAAAAAAAAAACGATTTATAAATTATGAATATGGTATAAAAACATAATAAAAGAGAATACAAAGAAGTTTTGAAACTGTTTTTCTAAAATGTATTTCCCTTGAGTCCAGCCAACTTAAAGTCACTGAGGGTCCTGAAAGAAACTCTGTCAATGGGGAAGGCTTCTAGCATTACATTTATTATATTATTTTTTTGGATGGCGGCGCCCCGGCAGTAAGGCGGCGCTGTTTGACACTCAAGAGTTCCCTAAAGGCTATCTGTGCACATGGGGTCTGTTGATTGAATGTCCAGCGCAGCATCAAATTGCACAGGCGCATCAGCCGGCGCCCAGGCGGTCGCATAATCAGGTACGCCCTGGGCTCCCCATCGAGCTCTACGGCACCTATATTCATTTTAATGAGCGCCATTCAGTAAGGATACGGAGGGCTACTAAAATCGATACCTAAATCGATTAAGGGGTGTCCTCCAGCGCATCAGCAGTAGTAAAGGCTGGGCGCCTCGAGATAGCCAGTGGCTACTTGAGTGAAAGAGATCCGTTGATTGCGCGTACTGCATGGGTACTACTAATTCAACGATCAAACTGCAACAGGGGCGGCCTTCAACACCCCCTCCCCGGTTTACGGATGACACCAAGCACAGGAGCACCTTATGGCGGATTAAAACAGAACCAGGGGTAGCATCTGGCTACATACGGTAGTGTAACACGTCACTCCTCTAAAACAGAACCAGGGGTAGCATCTGGCTACATACGGTAGTGTAACACGTCACTCCTCTAAAACCGAACCAGGGGTAGCATCTGGCTACATACGGTAGTGTAACACGTCATTCCCGCGACACCCTTAGGTGGTCGCTGAAAGGTGTTCAATCTCACTATTACAAAGAACGATTAACATGCAGTCGGTTTTTTCAAGCAGCACGCCCAAGGGCGTCTGGTCGGTAAAGTGGACAAACCCGCGCCCCAGCAGCAAAGATAAAAAAAAACAGTGGCGTTGTTTACATTTTAACTATTTCAGTTTTAGAAAATAAGGTCACACGACTAAAAATACACAATTATTAACGCGTTGATGAAACCCTTACAAATTGTTTCATTACCCTGGTATGTAAAACTAGATCGCAGCAACGCGGACGGGTACACTAACTAGTGTAAACATTCTTTAAAATTTCACTGTGACCAGGAGATTTTGATGTCTATGATTGAATTTATTTTTAAATCTCATTATTTGTTTATTATGATGCTGTTACTTTGGGTCAGTAACTTAGCCATCCTAAGTATCTAATATACAGAAGCAGCTAAAATAGATCACAAGGAACTTATTAATCATTTTGCAAAATTAAAAGCATGAGAAAAAAAAACATCTAAATAAATCATGAGCAGTTTTTAAAAAATGGTGTTATTGGCGTCACAATGTTGGGTGTTCCCCTACGCGTTTACCAAAGGTATCACCCCGATCGTCCCCAACAACTTTGCATTTTTGATGGGGTGTTACCCCTCTCTGACTTATCTTTCATTATTTTAGCTGGATGCAACATAAGCTTGACAGTAAAATGTACAAGGTTTCGTCATGGTGTCACTCCGAAATGTTGTCGGCCGCTGTGGACAGCACCTCTCTCTTCCCCCCCCCCCCCCCCCCGCATTTTGACCCTACTCTATTTGGTTACTTAAAAAACAAAAACTAATTAGCTGTAAGCCAGTAACATTTTTACAAAACTACGGGGTAGTAGGCCTACATAATATGTTTGGATAACACATTTAAAAAACTACATCAGGTGCAGCGGTTGATTTCGTTTCACTCCGTTGTAGCCTAAAGGCTGACAAAAGGGCCCACTGATAAATTTTGCATAGGGGCCCAAAAATCCTAGCTACGCCACTGTCTTAGAGTATTTTTACTTACAATTGTTATAAACCATAATGCTTTTAACGTCTATAAATAATATATACTATAAAAAATACAACCCACAACAATAAACACAACATTTTACAATTTTCAACAAATAAAAAAAATACTTCTGAAATGGTTTTTGTGACTTTTTTTTCTGTGAATTTATTTCTGTGACTTTATTTCCGATAAAAATTTTCCATTGTGACTTTTTTCTTTGACTTTTTTTTCCTAGCAAAAACTGACTTTTTTCGTTCTTTTTTTTCCCTGTGACTTTTTTTCCGTTCACCGAAACTTTCGGAGTTTGCCATGATTTCAACTTGAAATAACGCTCTAGAGCCCATGTCACCCCACTCACACCCTGCTATGACTAAAAATAGGAAATTGATAATATAACTAAACCTAGATGTTTCGCACATATATTGACATATTATTCCCTTCAATACACTGCGCAAACACTGTTGAAATATCGAAGGGACAGCACTCTGGGGGTACTGTGCAGGATTGTAGGAAAAAGGTCACAAACCTATATTTGAAAGGAATTTGTAAATACTTATGTGTTACGCAAATCAACTTACGTTTAATTAAATGCAATTCAAACATGTTAGATATATATATGCGAGGGTTGTATACATTTTTTTTTACTTTTTTTCTGACTATTTTCTGACCGACGGCCAAGATACACTCGCTGCAATTGCACAACCAAGTGCACAATAAATCGCTGCAAGTGTAAAAATAACAAGCTACTATGTAAGCGTGGGTCCCTTCATAGACATTAGTAAACGTATCCAATAGTTACTAAAGTGGCCCATGCTTTTCTTTATAGTTATTTGAATAGTAGTCTATAATTTATTTTCTACTTTTTAGTGCATTAGTACATAAAAGCTTGTTATTAAAACGTTTTTTTATGAAATTTTTACAAGCTTTTATCTAACTCACTTCCTCTTCAGTTTGTCGTCAGTCTGTCTAGATTGAAACGGCCGAGCGAATTTGCAGATACCTCTAACTGACAGATACGGTTCGTAGTTGGTACGTGGGTCAAGACATGAATACAATAATGCATCATGACATTAAAGTTGACTTAATTGGATGCCTAATTAATTTTTTATGAATTAATTAAAATTTTGTCCAAATTAGTAGGCTGTCTCTTCAAACTATTCCGCGCTATTATATGTGCGTCATCACGTTCAATAGGGGCGCAATGGTTTTTAGTCATGCAACTCTTTTGTAAATAAAACATGCATTCTTTTTTTACTAAAAAGCTTGTTATTAAAACGTTTTTCCCCAGTACTTTAACAATTTTAATACAATAGAGTTGCTTGACTAAAAGCTATTGCGCACCTAATGAACATAATAACGTGGAATAGTTGCATTGTCTTGACCCACGTACCTAATTTCAGAGATTGGTTAGAAGGATTGTAGGAAAAAAAGTCACAGGAAAAAAAAACACAGGAAAAAAAAAACACAGAAAAAAAGTCACAGGAAAAAAAGTCACAGGAAAAAAAGTCACAGGAAAAAAAGTCACAAATATATATTTGCATGATATTTGTTAATACTGTATGTATTAAATATTTAGATAGTGCAAATTAACTTAGGATAATTAAATGTAATGTGTGTAGGCTGTATACGCACAGGAATTTTTATAATTCATCTAAAAATATTTATTATGAAGTATGTAGATTGTAATTATTTTTAACTTAAGATAAGTATCATTTAATAGAATGCTCTAAAGTCCACGTTTTTATCGTGCTTTTTTTTAAAAAAAAATACCAATATTAAACTACCGTGAAATGGTAAGTTCACCTGACTTGCTGCCCTCAACTCATGGCAACAATAGTTATGTTTAGTTCAACCACCTTTACTTCCCACATTTATCACGCTCATTACATAACAAAACTTAGGATCAAAACAGAAAGCCGAAAAGGTTCAAAGGCTGTCGATGACGCATAACGTCAACAACACAAAATATGTTCAGACAATGGCTACTGAGGAGAGGCGGACCAGAGAATAGCCTACGGCAAAATTTGCCTAAATTTCTTTTATAATTAAATTTTCTACCGCGTTTTTAACTAAATACGTAACAAAAGTTGAGATTGTTGTGTAAATTATATTAGAGTATTTTTACTTACAATTGTTATAAACCATAAAGCTTTTAACGTCTATAAATAATTTATGCTATAAAAAAATACAACCCACAACAATAAACATGCAAAATTTTACAATTCTAAACAAATTTTAAAAAAATATTTCTAAAAAGATTTTTGTGACTTATTTTCTGTGACTTTATTTCTGTGACTTTTTTTCCGAAATTTTTTTTCCACTGTGACTTTTTTTCTGTGACTTTTTTTCCTAGCAAAAACTGTGACTTTTTTTCTGTGTTTTTTTTTCCTGTGACTTTTTTTCCGTTTACCGGTTAGAAGTGCCCGAAATTTCACTCTCCCGTTTAAATCTAGACAGACAGACATGATCAAAACAGAGGAAGCAATTTAAATAAAAGCTTTTGAAAAGGAGAAAATAATCCCTATATTTTATATTGGATACCTTAACTAATATTTAGTAGGGGGGGGGGGGGGAAGCCTAGTTGATTATAAATTTAAATGCGAAATGATTTTTATTAATAGTTTTTCTTCGACTATTTAGCATTACTTCCCCTAAATCGTATGTCGTACAGTAGCAATACACAGAGAAATACACAGGCTAGTCTAGGTTCCAGATACTTCTATTCTAGATCTAGACTAATCATCGGGATTAAGACTAGAAAACGAGATTAGTTGAACTACAAACATTTCCTAATCTTATAAAAACTGCTTTTTTAGAAACTGAAATGCAACAGGCGAATTCAAATGATCCTAAGAGACCAAATAAAGTTGTTCGGTAGGCACTCAGTCAGGCGACACTGTGTGTTGCTAGATTTCTAGATCTAGATTCTACTAGATCTAGTTCAACTTACTTTACTAGTCTAGATCTACTTCAGTAGATCTAGTAACTAGGTTCTAGTACTACTACTGTAGTACTTAGAGTACTTAGAATTATTAAATTAATAGGCCTAGTAGTAGGCCTACTCTCATAAATTTATTAATATTAGGCCTAGGCCTAACTAAAATTAGTAATCTACTAACTAATTACTAGCTTATTAGCCGCTAGCCTAATTAGTAATTTAAATTACTAGGCAAATGATTTCTAATTTCTAGAAACTAGATTAGTTGTTAGGGCCTAGGTAAAACTCCATTTTATCAGATTGTATTCACGTTACCCTCCAGTTCAGCGTATTTATTATAAACTACACAAACGAAGCACACAAAAACATTAACCCATATCCAATGATATTCTGCTAGCGTCCCACTTATGGGACTCTTGTAAAAAAATGGTTAAAAACTAGTTAAAACACAAATTATGTTTCATTGTATTTGAAAATGGTTAGAGTCGGTTAGACTATTGAATTTGTGTGTCTTTTGTGAACAATTTTAATTTAGAAAAATGTTGTAGCAGGGGCTTTGCAGGACTTGTTGATACAGAACTACAAATTCGATATAAAACTTATATATAAAATTTCATCAACCTAGCTGTAACGGTACTCAAGTTATCGAATATCGTGTTCACAGACATGTACACACAAACACAGACATACGGACAAGATTGCACAATTATGTTTTTCCGACTCAGGGAGGTGTGAAACGTTGCAAATCTCTATTTTTTTTTTTGCATGATTATAATACTTTCTCTATACTTCGTATACAAGAAAGTAAAAATATAAAACCACTGATCTTTCATGGTGAAATTTTTGTGTTTGTTTTTGACCAGAGTTTGGACACCCCAAAATGCCTGGGACCCGCCCTCCACTGTAGTTCGCACCCTAATTTAACGATTTAGATTCCTTGAATAATAATTGGGTCACTTCCTTAGATAATAATGTCACTTCCTTAGATAATAATTAGGGCACCACTTAGATAATAATTAGGGCACTTCCTTTGCAATAAGTGAATAAGTAGCCTGTCGTCATAACTAAAATGTCTGCCTGAACACAGCTGCTCTTGCTTCTAATTGTAAGGATTGTTTCAGCTACAAGGCCCCAGCCTCAGGAAGCCCCACAGATGACCCCACACCAGACTACATGAACCTTCTGGGCATGATCTTCAGCATGTGTGGGCTCATGATGAAAGTATGATCTTATGTGTGGGCTCATGATGAAAGTATGATCTTATGTGTGGGCTCATGATGAAAGTATGATCTTATGTGTGGGCTCATGATGAAAGTATGATCTTATGTGTGGGCTCATGATGAAAGTATGATCTTATGTGTGGGCTCATGATGAAAGTATGATCTTATGTGTGGGCTCATGATGAAAGTATGATCTTATGTGTGGGCTCATGATGAAAGTATGATCTTATGCCAGCATGTATATATGTAGTTATGATGATCAGTTTGTAGATCTATATGTAGATATGAAGGTCAGTTTGTTTTCATGAGAGTAAATAAAGTGCACCAAAAGCGTTTAGAATTTTATATTTAGGCATATATCTATCTAGGTTTTAATATTTATATCTCACTAGGTTTTAAGCTAAACAATTTTTCTAACTGTTGCTTTCATTTCCTTTTTCAGTTGAAGTGGTGTGCCTGGGTGGCAGTGTATTGTTCCTTCATTAGTTTTGCTAATTCAAGAACGTCAGATGACACAAAGCAAATGCTTAGCAGTTTCATGTAAGTGTTCAACTTTAACCATTAATGTCCCGTAACGCCCGCTGCCGCCCGCTTACAATACGCATAGAAAAATTAAATTTGTTTCATTAAAATTTGGCCTACAAATCCTAATTTTTAACTAAACAGGAAGTCGGATAGTTTCAGCATCCTTTTCCGGTTTTCTAATTTCAATGGCGCTTTTGAAAGATTAAAAAAAAATAGTTTCTTTCTATCTCGAAATTTTAGACTCATCTGTCGTATTTTTAGTAGATTTAATATTAAAAATAAAATAAAATAATGCCTCTAAACGGTTCTAGGCATGTATTTTATGGATTATATATCTTAAACATAACCAAATTGATATTTAACTGTTAAATTCGATGAATAGTTGCTTAGACAAAAATAAATAAAGTTGACTACCGAAAATGACCTGTTTTTGAATTTTCTCAGACATTTTTTATTTTTATACTGTACTTGTACCGAATATAATATATTCTATTTAATACTGTTGGAAAACCAGGTTTATTCCCAACATTAAGCAGTACTTTTTATCTTAATTTTCAATTTCATTTAGACAAAAACAAATATTTTGTGAAACTATTCACTTGATCATACAGAGTTATGCTCCTTACATTGGGCCGTCATGGGTGGAGTTTTGGTAGAATGAATGGGACATTAATGGTTAAGTAGCAGTTTCGTGTAAGTGTTCAATTTTTGGTAGCAGTAAGCAGTTCCATGTATTGTAAGTGTTCAATATTCAGTAACAGTTTCATGTAAGTGTTCAATATTCAGTAAGAAGTGTTTTGAATAACTCTTGCTTGAATTACAAGTTCCTCAGTGTCTGTAGATCATGCAGGATAGATTACTTTAAAGTATAAACATATTCTACATGCAATCTTCATGTGTAACCATATGTACATCTCCCCATAGCCCTGTGATGTAACATTGAGTGATATGAACAGATATCAGCTGTTTTTGATTTGGTTGCCTGACCTATGCCAGTGTTTCTTCTCCAGGTTGTCTATATCAGCTGTGGTCATGTCTTACCTACAGAACCCCCAGCCCATGCAACCTCCCTGGTGAATTGTTACTCTCCATTAAAATGATCAAACACCGGCTTTTGTCTTACCAGCTTTTGTCTTACCGGCTTTTGTCTTACCGGCTTTTGTCTTACCGGCTTTTGTCTTACCGGCTTTTGTCTTACCGGCTTTTGTCTTACCGGCTTTTGTCTTACCTTATGGCTAAAACATGAGATCTCTCTGAAAAACACAATGCCTTATATGTGGGAGAAATCATTTATTTTCCCATCATGACACACAGTGTGGGAGAAATCATTTATTTTCCCATCATGACACACAGTGTGGGAGAAATCATTTATTTTCCCATCATGACACACAGTGTGGGAGAAATCATTTATTTTCCCATCATGACACACAGTGTGGGAGAAATGCTTCATTTATTTTCCCATCATGACACACAGTGTGGGAGAAATGCTTCATTTATTTTCCCATCATGACACACAGTGTGGTGGAAATACTACACTCAGAAAAGAACCAATAGGGTGGATTGTGGCCGGCGCATCACACTGAACCCAAATCACAAAAAAAAAAAACCCACCACAAAGTTTCCTGGTTGACTCGCTGGGAGCCTCACACAATCACATGGTGATGGGAGCCTCACACAATCACCAGATGGTGATGGGAGCCTCACACAATCACCAAATGGTGATGGGAGCCTCACACAATCACCATTTGGTGATGGGAACCTCACACAATCACCATTTGGTGATGGGAGCCTCACACAATCACCAAATGGTGATGGGAGCCTCACACAATCACATGGTGATGGGAGCCTCACACAATCACCATTTGGTGATGGGAGCCTCACACAATCACCATTTGGTGATGGGAGCCTCACACAATCACCAAATGGTGATGGGAGCCTCACGCAATCACCAAATGGTTATTGCAGCAACAAAAACATTCACCAATTATTTTTATATTTCAATGAAATATTTAATAATGAAAAGAGTGCCATGAATGGATGCAATCAAACAATTTCAAAGACTTAGGAGGCTTATAACAGATTTGATGCATAGAATTGGACTCTAGTCTTAGAGGACTGCAAGCGAACCACCTGGATGACAGGTTGTCCAACATTGGTGATTAAAAAGCACAAACACAGTTGGCTAATTTTCAAGACAATCTGTTGATTTAATTTAAAGAACTAAGTAGAACAGATCTTCATCATTGAAATTGTAGCACAGCCATCAAACATGATGTTCTATTTATAACACAAGAAACTTATCACTATATACAAAATCTAAAACATGTCTTTCTACAGTAACATGCATCACAACTTTTCTAACAATAAGCAGATGCAGGCCTAATACTGTCCAGGTAACTCCACACATCTTCATATATACATACACATTAGTCCACACTTGATATATATACATACAGTTAGTATATTAAAAAATACACAGCTTAATAACATACTTCATCAGTAGATACAAATAACAATGTGTCTTGCACACCTTATCTCAAACAACAAAATATTTCTTTGTCCAAGATTAAAAAAAAACTTATCCCAGACAGGAAGTGTCTAGACTACAACGCAGACCAGACAGGAAGTGTCTAGACTACATACCAGACAGGAAGTGTCTAGACTACAACGCAGACCAGACAGGAAGTGTCTAGACTACAACCCAGACAGGAAGTGCCTAGACTACAACCCACACCAGACAGGAAGTGTCTAGACTACAGACCAGACAGGAAGTGCCTAGACTACAACCCACACCAGACAGGAAGTGTCTAGACTACAGACCAGACAGGAAGTGCCTAGACTACAACCCAGACCAGACATGAAGTGTCTAGACTACAGACCAGACAGGAAGTGCCTAGACTACAACCCAGACCAGACATGAAGTGTCTAGACTACAGACCAGACACAGCCTAGAGCAGAAGAATGTACCCACTAGCAGCCAATTCAAACATTTAAGGAGAGTCCCTGAGTTGTTACATAAGTTTATTGTGCACAACCAACACGACACAGCTGACATGACACAACCAACACAACACGGCTGACATGACACAACCAACACAACACGGCTGACATGACACAACCAACACGACATGGCTGACATGACACAACTAACACGACACGGCTGACATGACACAACCAACACGACACAGCTGACATGACACAACACAACATGGCTGACATGACATGACACAACCAACACGACACAGCTGACATAACACAACATGGCTGACATGACATGACACAACCAACACGACACAGCTGACATGACACAACCAACACGACACAGCTGACATGACACAACACAACATGGCTGACATGACATGACACAACCAACACGACACAGCTGACATAACACAACATGGCTGACATGACATGACACAACCAACACGACACAGCTGACATGACACAACACAACATGGCTGACATGACACAACCAACACGACATGGCTGACATGACATGACACAACCAACATGACACGGGTGACATGACATGACCAACACGACACGGCTGACATGACACAACCAACACGACACAGCTGACATGACATGACACAACCAACACGACACAGCTGACATGACATAACCAACACAACACGGCTGACATTAGACAAATAAATAATATGATATGATAAGAAACAAACAGGGACATGACACAGGCACCTTTCTTTATAATGCAAAAACTGAGACAAATTCTCAAATCCGTGTTTTAGTAGGTAGTAACTATAGGCGGATCAAACACAATTTTGTAATAATGAAAAAAAAAAAAAAAACTGGGACAGATCAACATTTACACTAAGACAGACTAACAGATAGTTGTTTGGTCCAAAATATGACACAGGCTGAAAAGAATGAGTAGATAAGTCAATAGCTTGGTGACAAGTTACTTGTACTGGACAATTTGTGAGGAGTGAGTTCAAGTCAGTGGGATGAGACTAGAGGCTGGACAGCAGCAAGCGCTGGCCTGTTGTCCTGTGGACAGCAGCAGCAAACGCTGGCCTGTTGTCCTGTGGACAGCAGCAAGCGCTGGCCTGTTGTCCTGTGGACAGCAGCAAACGCTGGCCTGTTGTCCTGTGGACAGCAGCAAATGCTGGCCTGTTGTCCTGTGGACAGCAGCAAGCGCTGGCCTGTTGTCCTGTGGACAGCAGCAAACGCTGGCCTGTGCTATGTCCTGTGGTAGCTGCTGCTACCATCATTGTTCTCAGGTCCTCCAGAATTCTCATCTCCAACAAACCTGTTATCCACGGCTTGGATATATCTGGCATCCAAGGATTCAAGCACAGAAAATCTATTATCCACTTCTTCAGAAAAAGCAAATTCTAAAACTGGCTGCTCCTCAACAGTGAGTTCATCAGGCCCAGCGGCACCATCCCCAGCAATAATGTACTGCTCATCATAGTCCTCAAAATTGTCATCATAAAAGTTTTCACTGTCTGAATGTCCTTCGTGGTCAGAATCTTCAGCGTTCTCACCATCATTCTCTTCATCACTAGCTACATATCCATTGGCAAACACCTGGCTTATACTGTCAGCTGAGCTGTTGGGTGTTAGCCTGTTCCTGTCAGCTGAGCTGTTGGGTGTTAGCCTGTTCCTGTCAGCTGAGCTGTTGGGTGTTAGCCTGTTCCTGTCAGCTGAGACCAATCTGTTGAAGGATTCATGTTCCCGGAGCGAGGCCACAACATGAGGAGAGTAGGTCCCAGCAGCCCCCCCACTGGAGGCCAAGTCTAGCACTCGGTTGGTCAGCTCTTCTAGGACTGTGTCGCTGGCGGACCTGCTGGACACTGGCAGGTCAGCAGGGCTGGCTGGCAGGACAGTTGTGCTGTCTGCCCCTCTGTGTCTGCCTAGCCTGGCCTGCTGAGGTCTGCTGTCTGCCCCGTCTCTGGCGCAACTGCTTCTACTTAGAGTTAACTCCCTGAGCAAGTTGTCGAAGCGATAGATCAAGTCGCTGGGACTCTCTGACCTTTGGTTGCTGTCTGAGTGTGCAGGTGGGATGTTGGTGTGGACCTCCAGCTGCTCTGTGGAGGGTGGCATCCTCCTAATGGCGTTGCTCCTCTCAAGTCTGGACCTCTGGTAGCTGGAGGTGTCCCTGGGCCTGTTACGCTGACCCCCAGCTGGGGCAGGTCTGTCTGAAGCTGGGGCATGAGAGTGAATGTAGCCAACAGATTCCAGATAGGAGTTTGGCAAGAGGGGAACAATATTGAAGAGCGGTGTTGTTGGGGTGGGCTGGCTAGAGTCACTGGGTGTGGCAGTTAGGGGGGTCTCCAGCGTGGCCTCGTCCTGGCTGACTATAAGGATGTTGTTGAGGGTGTCGTCATAGCTGTGCTCCATCTCACACGACTCAGACCTCTCATCCTCTTCTTCTGTTTCCTACAGTCAAATATGGACAGCTCAGCCTCATTCATTAACTCAACAATCAAAGGGTATGGCTAGGTTTTAACTTAAGGGTCAAAAGAGAGACAACCTACCACCAGCTGCTAGGGTCAACAATGGGACAACCTACCACCAGTTGCTAGGGTCAACAATGAGACAACCTACCACCAGCTGCTAGGGTCAACAATGGGACAACCTACCACCAGTTGCTAGGGTCAACAATGAGACAACCTACCACCAGCTGCTAGGGTCAACAATGAGACAACCTACCACCAGTTGCTAGGGTCAACAATGGGACAACCTACCACCAGTTGCTAGGGTCAACAATGAGACAACCTACCATCAGTTGCTAGGGTCAACAATGAGACAACCTACCATCAGTTGCTAGGGTCAACAATGAGACAACCTACCACCAGTTGCTAGGGTCAACAATGAGACAACCTACCATCAGTTGCTAGGGTCAACAATGAGACAACCTACCATCAGTTGCTAGGGTCAACAATGAGACAACCTACCACCAGTTGCTAGGGTCAACAATGAGACAACCTACCACCAGTTGCTAGGGTCAACAATGGGACAACCTAATACCAGTTGCTAGGGTCAATGATGAGACAACCTACCATCAGTTGCTAGGGTCAACAATGAAACAACCTACCAATAATTGCTCATCATCCTCCACCCATTCTCCAAGCTCCATTGCTATCCTGCGGTACCTGGACTCCCTGAGGACGCCTTTAGCCCTTAAAGTTTTGGGGTGGTCTGGTCCCATAATCTCTTCACTGAGCCTGGCCCACTTCTTGAAGTACTGGTAGGATCTCCTGTAATCCTGCACACACCAGATGTCACAACTTTAGCACCTCACTTACACCAAATACAAACACAACTTTAGCATGGCACTTACATCAAATACAGACACAACTTTAGCCAGCACTTACATCAAATACAGACACAACTTTAGCACGGCACTTACATCAAATACAAACACAACTTTAGCCATCACTTACATCAAATACAGACACAACTTTAGCACGGCACTTACATCAAATACATACAACTTTAGCACAGCACTTACATCAAATACAGACACAACTTTAGCATGGCACTTACATCAAATACAGACACAACTCTAGCACGGCACTTACATCAAATACAGACACAACTCTAGCACGGCACTTACATCAAATACAGACACAACTCTAGCATGGCACTTACATCAAATACAGACACAACTTTAGCACGGCACTTACATCAAATACACCACTTTAGCACGGCACTTACATCAAATACAGACACAACTTTAGCACAGCACTTACATCAAATACAGACACAACGTTAGCACGGCACTTACATCAAATACAGACACAACTTTAGCACGGCACTTACATCAAATACACAACTTTAGCACGGCACTTACATCAAATACAGACACAACTTTAGCACAGCACTTACATCAAATACAGACACAACTTTAGCACATCACTTACATCAAATACAGACACAACTTTAGCACGGCACTTACATCAAATACACAACTTTAGCACGGCACTTACATCAAATACAGACACAACTTTAGCACGGCACTTACATCAAATACAGACACAACTTTAGCCATCACTTACATCAAATACAGAAACAACTTTAGCACGGCACTTAATCAAATACAGACACAATTTAGCACGGCACTTACATCAAATACAGACACAATTTAGCATGGCACTTACATCAAATACAGACACAACTTTAGCACAGCACTTACATCAAATACAGACACAACTTTAGCACGGCACTTACATCAAATACAGACACAACTTTAGCACGGCACTTACATCAAATACACAACTTTAGCACGGCACTTACATCAAATACAGACAAAACTTTAGCACAGCACTTACATCAAATACAGACACAACTTTAGCACGGCACTTACATCAAATACAGACAACTTTAGCACGGCACTTACATCAAATACAGACACAACTTTAGCACAACACTTACATCAAATACAGACACAACTTTAGCACGGCACTTACATCAAATACACAACTTTAGCACGGCACTTACATCAAATACAGACACAACTTTAGCACAGCACTTACATCAAATACAGACACAACTTTAGCCATCACTTACATCAAATACAGAAACAACTTTAGCACGGCACTTACATCAAATACAGACACAACTTTAGCACAGCACTTACATCAAATACAGACACAACTTTAGCACGGCACTTACATCAAATACAGACACAACTTTAGCACGGCACTTACATCAAATACACAACTTTAGCACGTCACTTACATCAAATACAGACACAACTTTAGCACAGCACTTACATCAAATACAGACACAACTTTAGCACATCACTTACATCAAATACAGACACAACTTTAGCACGGCACTTACATCAAATACAGACAACTTTAGCACGGCACTTACATCAAATACAGACACAACTTTAGCACAACACTTACATCAAATACAGACACAACTTTAGCACGGCACTTACATCAAATACAGACACAATTTAGCACGGCACTTACATCAAATACAGACACAATTTAGCACGGCACTTACATCAAATACAGACACAACTTTAGCATGGCACTTACATCAAATACAGACACAACTCTAGCACGGCACTTACATCAAATACAGACACAACTCTAGCACGGCACTTACATCAAATACAGACACAACTTTAGCACGGCACTTACATCAAATACACAACTTTAGCACGGCACTTACATCAAATACAGACACAACTTTAGCACAGCACTTACATCAAATACAGACACAACTTTAGCACGGCACTTACATCAAATACAGACACAACTTTAGCACGGCACTTACATCAAATACACAACTTTAGCACGGCACTTACATCAAATACAGACACAACTTTAGCACAGCACTTACATCAAATACAGACACAACTTTAGCACGGCACTTACATCAAATACAGACAACTTTAGCACGGCACTTACATCAAATACAGACACAACTTTAGCACAACACTTACATCAAATACAGACACAACTTTAGCACGGCACTTACATCAAATACACAACTTTAGCACGGCACTTACATCAAATACAGACACAACTTTAGCACAGCACTTACATCAAATACAGACACAACTTTAGCCATCACTTACATCAAATACAGAAACAACTTTAGCACGGCACTTACATCAAATACAGACACAATTTAGCACGGCACTTACATCAAATACAGACACAACTTTAGCCATCACTTACATCAAATACAGACACAACTTTAGCACAGCACTTACATCAAATACAGACACAACTTTAGCACAGCACTTACATCAAATACAGACACAATTTAGCACGGCACTTACATCAAATACAGACACAATTTAGCACGGCACTTACATCAAATACAGACACAATTTAGCACGGCACTTACATCAAATACAGACACAACTTTAGCACAGCACTTACATCAAATACAGACACAACTTTAGCACGGCACTTACATCAAATACAGACACAACTTTAGCACGGCACTTACATCAAATACACAACTTTAGCACGGCACTTACATCAAATACAGACACAACTTTAGCACAGCACTTACATCAAATACAGACACAACTTTAGCACATCACTTACATCAAATACAGACACAACTTTAGCACGGCACTTACATCAAATACAGACAACTTTAGCACGGCACTTACATCAAATACAAACACAACTTTAGCACAACACTTTCATCAAATACAGACACAACTTTAGCACGGCACTTACGTCAAATACAGACACAATTTAGCACGGCACTTACATCAAATACAGACACAATTTAGCACGGCACTTACATCAAATACAGACACAACTTTAGCACAGCACTTACATCAAATACAGACACAACTTTAGCATGGCACTTACATCAAATACAGACACAATTTAGCACGGCACTTACATCAAATACAGACACTTGTAAAAAAAGGATCACTGCAGGTGCTACTTGCCATGCATGACGACACGCCTGGATAAATCAAGCTCAACTTGCCTTATTATCCTCATAGACAATGCCAATATTGATGTAGAGTCGGGAAGTCAAAATGTGCAGCTCCCCGTACATTTGCATGCAAAGTTCCATGGCTTGATTATAGAGCTAGGAGACAAGACACTAACATTATAACACACAAAGCTGACACAAGACATACAACTAATATAAGACACAAGACACACAACTAATATTATAAGACACAAGACACAACTAATATTATAAGACACAAGACACACAACTAATATTATAAGACACAAGACACACAACATCCTAGTTGCCGGCCTACCTTAAGTTGCTCCATGCTCCCTCTTGGTGCTAGAACTCCTTTGGTCATTAAAGCTTCAGCATAGTGTCCCATATCACTCAGCTGAAGATGGTCACACAGGTTTGATATTCTAAGTCTGTGTGATATTCTACTCTAATTTTGTCTGTGTGATATTCTACTCTACTTTTGTCTGTGTGATATTCTACTCTAATTTTGTCTGTGTGATATTCTACTCTAATTTTGTCTGTGTGATATTCTACTCTACTTTTGTCTGTGTGATATTCTACTCTACTCTTGACTGTGTGATATTCTACTCTAATTTTGTCTGTGTGATATTCTACTCTAATTTTGTCTGTGTGATATTCTACTCTACTTTTGTCTGTGTGATATTCTACTCTAATTTTGTCTGTGTGATATTCTACTCTAATTTTGTCTGTGTGATATTCTACTCTAATTTTGTCTGTGTGATATTCTACTCTAATTTTGTCTGTGTGATATTCTACTCTAATTTTGTCTGTGTGATATTCTACTCTACTTTTGTCTGTGTGATATTCTACTCTAATTTTGTCTGTGTGATATTCTACTCTAATTTTGTCTGTGTGATATTCTACTCTAATTTTGTCTGTGTGATATTCTACTCTAATTTTGTCTGTGTGATATTCTACTCTAATTTTGTCTGTGTGATATTCTACTCTAATTTTGTCTGTGTGATATTCTACTCTACTTTTGTGTGTGATATTCTACTCTACTTTTGTGTGTGATATTCTACTCTACTTTTGTCTGTGTGATATTCTACCCTAACTTTGTCTGTGTGATATTCTACTCTACTTTTGAGTGTGATATTCTACTCTACTTTTGTGTGTGATATTCTACTCTACTTTTGTCTGTGTGATATTCTACCCTAATTTTGAATGTGTGATATTCTACTCTACTTTTGTGTGTGATATTCTACTCTACTTTTGTCTGTGTGATATTCTACTCTACTTTTGTGTGTGATATTCTACTCTACTTTTGTCTGTGTGATATTCTACCCTAATTTTGAATGTGTGATATTCTACTCTACTTTTGTGTGTGATATTCTACTCTACTTTTGTCTGTGTGATATTCTACCCTAATTTTGCCCTGAAAATAGATTGTGGCAAAAAGTATTGTCGGTTACCTCCAGAAATATTTTGAGTGCCCTGTCGATGTACTTGTTGCCCTCAGTGACAGCATCAGGACCGGTCAGCTCTGTCCCCCCGCCACAAGCGTCCCAACTTTTCATGTTGAAGGCAAGTCTCATTAATGACATGCCAAGCTTGAACTGCAATACAACAGGAGTCAACCACACGTGTTGAGCACAACATAAACCACACGTGGTGAGCACATAAACCACACGTGGTGAGCACAACATAAACCACACGTGGTGAGCACATAAACCACACGTGGTGAGCACAACATAAACCACACGTGGTGAGCACAACATAAACCACACGTGGTGAGCACAATATAAACCACACGTGGTGAGCACATAAACCACACATGGTGAGCACAACATAAACCACACGTGGTGAGCACAACATGAACCACACGTGGTGAGCACAACATGAACCACACGTAGTGAGCACATAAACCACACATGGTGAGCACAACATAAACCACACGTGGTGAGCACAACATAAACCACACGTGGTGAGCACAATATAAACCACACGTGGTGAGCACATAAACCACACATGGTGAGCACAACATAAACCACACGTGGTGAGCACAACATGAACCACACGTGGTGAGCACAACATGAACCACACGTAGTGAGCACATAAACCACACATGGTGAGCACAACATGAACCACATGTGGTGAGCACAACATAAACCACACGTGGTGAGCACAACATAAACCACACGTGGTGAGCACATAAACCACACATGGTGAGCACAACATAAACCACACGTGGTGAGCACAACATAAACCACACGTGGTGAGCACAACATAAACCACATGTGGTGAGCACATAAACCACACGTGGTGAGCACAACATGAACCACACGTGGTGAGCACAACATAAACCACACGTGGTGAGCACATAAACCACACGTGGTGAGCACAACATAAACCACACGTGGTGAGCACATAAACCACACGTGGTGAGCACAACATAAACCACACGTGGTGAGCACAACATAAACCACACGTGGTGAGCACAACATAAACCACACGTGGTGAGCACATAAACCACACGTGGTGAGCACAACATAAACCACACGTGGTGAGCACAACATGAACCACACGTGGTGAGCACAACATAAACCACACGTGGTGAGCACAACATAAACCACACGTGGTGAGCACAATATAAACCACACGTGGTGAGCACATAAACCACACGTGGTGAGCACAACATAAACCACACCTGGTGAGCACATAAACCACACGTGGTGAGCAGAACATAAACCACACGTGGTGAGCACATAAACCACACGTGGTGAGCACAACATAAACCACATGTGGTGAGCACAACATAAACCACACGTGGTGAGCACAACATAAACCACACGTGGTGAGCACATAAACCACACGTGGTGAGCACATAAACCACACGTGGTGAGCACATAAACCACATGTGGTGAGCACATAAACCACACGTGGTGAGCACAACATAAACCACACGTGGTGAGCACAACATAAACCACACGTGGTGAGCACATAAACCACACGTGGTGAGCACATAAACCACACGTGGTGAGCACATAAACCACACGTGGTGAGCACAACATAAACCACATGTGGTGAGCACAACATAAACCACACGTGGTGAGCACAACATGAACCACATGTGGTGAGCACATAAACCACACGTGGTGAGCACAACATAAACCACATGTGGTGAGCACAACATAAACCACATGTGGTGAGCACATCATAAACCACATGTGGTGAGCACAACATAAACCACATGTGGTGAGCACAACATAAACCACACGTGGTGAGCACAACATAAACCACATGTGGTGAGCACAACATAAACCACACGTGGTGAGCACATAAACCACACATGGTGAGCACAACATAAACCACACGTGGTGAGCACAACATGAACCACATGTGGTGAGCACAACATGAACCACACGTGGTGAGCACATAAACCACACATGGTGAGCACAACATGAACCACATGTGGTGAGCACAACATAAACCACACGTGGTGAGCACAACATAAACCCCATGTGGTGAGCACAACATAAACCACATGTGGTGAGCACATAAACCACACATGGTGAGCACAACATAAACCACACGTGGTGAGCACAACATGAACCACACGTGGTGAGCACAACATGAACCACACGTGGTGAGCACATAAACCACACATGGTGAGCACAACATGAACCACATGTGGTGAGCACAACATAAACCACACGTGGTGAGCACAACATAAACCACACGTGGTGAGCACATAAACCACACATGGTGAGCACAACATAAACCACACGTGGTGAGCACAACATAAACCACACGTGGTGAGCACAACATAAACCACATGTGGTGAGCACATAAACCACACGTGGTGAGCACAACATGAACCACACGTGGTGAGCACAACATAAACCACACGTGGTGAGCACATAAACCACACGTGGTGAGCACAACATAAACCACACGTGGTGAGCACAACATAAACCACACGTGGTGAGCACATAAACCACACGTGGTGAGCACAACATAAACCACACGTGGTGAGCACAACATAAACCACACGTGGTGAGCACATAAACCACACGTGGTGAGCACAACATAAACCACACGTGGTGAGCACAACATAAACCACACGTGGTGAGCACAACATAAACCCCATGTGGTGAGCACAACATAAACCACATGTGGTGAGCACATAAACCACACATGGTGAGCACAACATAAACCACACGTGGTGAGCACAACATGAACCACACGTGGTGAGCACAACATGAACCACACGTGGTGAGCACATAAACCACATGTGGTGAGCACAACATAAACCACACGTGGTGAGCACAACATAAACCACACGTGGTGAGCACATAAACCACACGTGGTGAGCACATAAACCACACGTGGTGAGCACATAAACCACATGTGGTGAGCACATAAACCACACGTGGTGAGCACAACATAAACCACACGTGGTGAGCACATAAACCACACGTGGTGAGCACAACATAAACCACATGTGGTGAGCACAACAAAAACCACACTTGGTGAGCACAACATGAACCACATGTGGTGAGCACATAAACCACACGTGGTGAGCACAACATAAACCACATGTGGTGAGCACAACATAAACCACATGTGGTGAGCACATCATAAACCACATGTGGTGAGCACAACATAAACCACATGTGGTGAGCACAACATAAACCACACGTGGTGAGCACAACATAAACCACACGTGGTGAGCACAACATAAACCACACGTGGTGAGCACATAAACCACACATGGTGAGCACAACATAAACCACACGTGGTGAGCACAACATGAACCACACGTGGTGAGCACAACATGAACCACACGTGGTGAGCACATAAACCACACATGGTGAGCACAACATGAACCACATGTGGTGAGCACAACATAAACCACACGTGGTGAGCACAACATAAACCCCATGTGGTGAGCACAACATAAACCACATGTGGTGAGCACATAAACCACACATGGTGAGCACAACATAAACCACACGTGGTGAGCACAACATGAACCACACGTGGTGAGCACAACATGAACCACACGTGGTGAGCACATAAACCACACATGGTGAGCACAACATGAACCACATGTGGTGAGCACAACATAAACCACACGTGGTGAGCACAACATAAACCACACGTGGTGAGCACATAAACCACACATGGTGAGCACAACATAAACCACACGTGGTGAGCACAACATAAACCACACGTGGTGAGCACAACATAAACCACATGTGGTGAGCACATAAACCACACGTGGTGAGCACAACATAAACCACACGTGGTGAGCACATAAACCACACGTGGTGAGCACAACATAAACCACACGTGGTGAGCACAACATGAACCACACGTGGTGAGCACAACATAAACCACACGTGGTGAGCACAACATAAACCACACGTGGTGAGCACAATATAAACCACACGTGGTGAGCACATAAACCACACGTGGTGAGCACAACATAAACCACACGTGGTGAGCACATAAACCACACGTGGTGAGCACAACATAAACCACACGTGGTGAGCACATAAACCACACGTGGTGAGCACAACATAAACCACACGTGGTGAGCACAACATAAACCACACGTGGTGAGCACAACATAAACCACACGTGGTGAGCACATAAACCACACGTGGTGAGCACATAAACCACACGTGGTGAGCACATAAACCACATGTGGTGAGCACATAAACCACACGTGGTGAGCACAACATAAACCACACGTGGTGAGCACAACATAAACCACACGTGGTGAGCACATAAACCACACGTGGTGAGCACATAAACCACACGTGGTGAGCACATAAACCACACGTGGTGAGCACATAAACCACACGTGGTGAGCACAACATAAACCACACGTGGTGAGCACAACATAAACCACACGTGGTGAGCACAACATAAACCACACGTGGTGAGCACATAAACCACACGTGGTGAGCACAACATAAACCACACGTGGTAAGCACAACATAAACCACACGTGGTGAGCACATAAACCACACTTGGTGAGCACATAAACCACACGTGGTGAGCACAACATAAACCACACGTGGTGAGCACAACATAAACCACACGTGGTAAGCACAACATAAACCACACGTGGTGAGCACATTAACCACACGTGGTGAGCACATAAACCACACGTGGTGAGCACAACATAAACCACACGTGGTGAGCACAACATAAGCCACACGTGGTGAGCACAACATAAACCACACGAGGTGAGCACATAAACCACACGTGGTGAGCACAACATAAACCACACGTGGTGAGCACAACATAAACCACACATGGTGAGCACAACATAAACCACACGTGGTGAGCACAACATAAACCACATGTGGTGAGCACATAAACCACATGTGGTGAGCACAACATAAACCACACGAGGTGAGCACAACATAAACCACATGTGGTGAGCACAACATAAACCACATGTGGTGAGCACATAAACCACACGTGGTGAGCACAACATAAACCACACGTGGTGAGCACAACATAAACCACACATGGTGAGCACAACATAAACCACACGTGGTGAGCACAACATAAACCACATGTGGTGAGCACATAAACC